AAGTGTCTTGCTTTGCATTTGCCTCAGGACACATCCAGCCCCTGCTTTGTCTCCCACAGCACCGTGGTGAGATGCCTCCAAGAAAAATACCAGAGCCCTGCAGCAAGTCGATGCAGTGTGTCCCCACGCTGATCCCTTCCCATCTCTAGGGAACGTGGCTGTGCTGGAGCGTGGCTGCATGCTGCCTCCTGCAGCTGCCAGCTGTGTGTCCGTGCACAGGCTCAGACAGGCTTAGGAGTCCCCAGTCCAGTGAGTTTGTCATAGTGACAATCGCTGCCTGAAATGCAGTGCTGTTTGTTTTAGCTTGCAGGTTATTGTTAGAATTACACCACTGACATATTTGCCGCAAGAGCCAAATTAAAGCAGTTTGTTTAGGATAGTCTTCTAAATAACAACCAGCACAGCATCTTGAGGTATTTCAGGCATCCGTATCTATTAGCATCATTGAAAATGTCTTGTAATTCCTGAATCACAGAGATTATAAAAACAAAAACAAAACCCACAACCAAACTTAATGCCGTGTCATTGCAAACAATACTTCAGTATTTTTTTTAATGCTGGATTTCTCTTAGTCTTGAAAGTGCTGTCCAGGAGCAGGGTGGATCTGCTGAGCTGGTAGAGGCCAGCACAGTCCTGGTGGTTGGTGCTGGGAGCAGCTGTGCCTCTGCCTGGGTTGTGTCTGTGCTGTGTGTTCCAGCTGCTTGCCGCGGGTTTTGGCTTGTTGGTTGGTTTTTATCCTCTCTGAATTTATTCTTTGTCTTCCTGATTTGGATCCTCCCTACCTTCTGCCCCAGTAACTCTCTGGGCCTCGCTTCAAGCTGTGCTTGCAGGAGCTGGATCCCTCTGGCTTGTAGATAGCCTTGTTTCAAGTACAGTTGTGTTCCAGAGGTTGTGGCCCAACACGATTTTTTATCAGGAGTCCCAAGTGCTAATTATGTGCAAACACTGCATGTTTTCATTTCTCACGATTCTCTGCTCCAGACAGATTTCTGGTTCTGTGAAGTATTTCTGTGTGGATGTTTCTCTCTTCTGTGAACTGGAGGGAGCAGCGTAGGGTACCCAGCACCGCCGTGGGCACCGACCCATTGCCAGCACAGTTCTCGTCCTTTGCAGATGAGCCAAGGCAGCTCTTGCAGCAAACAATGTGCTCGTTTCCTGAAATCACGGCGCTCACTGCACGCATGTGAGGGTGAAATCACATCTGAGAATATAACAGCGCTCTTTGGCTGCCTTCCTTGTCCGGGGTTAAACAAATGGAAAAGCTGGGCCACGAGCTGCTGGCGAATGGCCCATCAGGTCCTGCGGTCTGAGGACTGAGCACACTGTGCTGCAGCTGGCAGGAGGTGTCTGTGGGGCAGGGCTGCGTGTGGGGCCGGGCTGGGAGTGAAGCAGCGTGCAGCGCTCGTCTCCTGAGTGTGATTGTGGTCTTGGTGCTTGTGTGAAGCATTAGTTTTGATTGCTCAGGAGGCTGAAAATAATGCAGCACCAGAGTTAAGCGGCCTGAAATTCTTCACCTCGTTCCTCTCCCACAAACAGGATTCCTTGTAGGGTGCTAGCAGACAGCGGCTCTTGATAGCCATGAATGCAGATGTTATTTTTGCATGAACTGAGGTGTCACATGAGTGCTGTCAGTGCTTCAAGAGATGCTGGATTGCTGTTGCAGCTGCAGGCCACGTGTTCCTTAGGAGCGATGCTGTGTGCAACCTGGCCCAGAGCAGTGGACCCATGTGGTAACAGCCAGGAGCTCTGCGTGGAGCGTGTCACAGTGCCACCAAGCCTGGGGCGTTGGGACCATAGCCCTGTGCCATACAGGAGAAGCCATGGAGCACACCGCAGCCTGCAAGGCCACATCTGTAAGAGCCAGCCAGTGCTGCAGCTGCCATGGAAACAGAGGATTTTGTTCCCGTGGCAACCAGCTGGGGCTTTCCCAAGAGCAGAGTGAGAGCTCTTGGAGAAGGAGCAGGATGGTGCCCTGCTGTAGGGCCTGGTCCTGCTTGGTGCTGCTCCCCACAGTGGGGCTGTGGTGCTCCAGGGCTCTGCGTGCGGCTCCGGCTGCGCTGCTGCTGTTGCTGCCTGGGGCAGCCAGTGCTGAGGTGCATGCAGGGGTGGGCGCTGGTGTTCAGGTGTGTTTGGGCTCTGCTCCGTTGCTGCAGGTTGTGCTTTGTTGGCCAAGGAATCGCTTCGGTGCTGGGTTTTAAAGAAACTGCTTGTTGCACCTAAAGCACTGCATAGGAGACGTAGCAGGATTCAAAGAAGGAATGTCTGGAATTGATTTGATGGGTGCAGAGCCCCAGAAGTACAGGTGAGCACAGCACAGAGGTGTGTAACAACAGGGCAGTCCCTGTGGAGGGAGATCCTTTCCGTAGGTTTGAGTGCATTCATTGCATACAGCAGTCAAAGCACTGCATGCCATGGGCAGCCGTGCTGCCCAGCGCTGGGCAGTGCTGTGTGGAAGCTGCACTGGGGCAGCACTGCAGGGAGCTCCCACAGCTGCTGCTCCAATGGCTGCAGAGAATTAGGGAATCTGGTTCAGAATTACAAATCACTTTCATGATTGCACATTGATGGGGAATTTTTAATCAGTGGATGCCGTGTAGTAGAGCACAACAGCTGAAATATGCTTTTGGAAAAGCTCATAATTGAAAGTGAGTTTTTAAATTGCTAATGTAATGCCTATAAGGGGAGCTTTTTAATAAGGCCTCTTAAACCTCCCTGATTCCGGCACAGGGTTAGCATTATTCCTGAGGCAGGCATAGAGAAAGCAGTGGGAGCATTATTCTCAATCTTGACATAAGAATAAGCAATTTAATTACAGCCAGCTATAAAATGGAAAATTCTTTACAGTGACAAATGGCCACTGCGGCGGGGTGACAGCAGCACTTTGTTCCTGGTTTGTTTACCAAGCAGTGGCAGTGGGATGCAGGCGAGGACCACGGAACAGCTCCGAAGCGGGGAGAAGAGTGGGCACAAAGCGCCCAGCACTGCAGCTCCTACTGCGGCTGCTGGCTGCCGCTGCTGCGTTGGGCTTACTGTAATAATCCGTGTGGGAAAAGGCTGCTCTGAAGCTGAGAGCTACGTGCAAAGGAGGAAAATCCCATTCCATGCGTAGCAAAGGCAAACGCAGCTTCCAGGCAGGCGCGTCTCCCCCGGACTGCTCTGTGCTCTGCACAAAGCCCTGCTGGCCCGCATGGCTGAGTCACTCGCGGGCACGGCCTCGCTTTCAGAATTGTCCTTCCCTTCTGGGAAATGGAAACGAAAGGGATACTCACGTCTGCAGCAGACTGTTCCTGCGTGCCCTGCGTGGACTCTGCTCCTGATTTCAAACAGTTTGGAGTAAAATCATCAGCTCCTTTTTACTAGAGCTTGCAGCTTTGTGCAACTTCGCAACTCCCAGCAGCCAACCCCAGCCTGTGCTGCAGGATGCAGCCCTGCTGCAGGAGCACAGCCCTAGCAGGGAGGTGGACCAGCGAGAGCAGCACCACCTTGGCAGCAGTCAGGAGTTGGGTTGGAGGCCCAGGGCCGGGGTGCGCCTCCTGCTTCACAGCAGCTTCATCCCTGTCTGGTGGTGAGGCTTCATCAGAGCCCTCAGCACAGCCATTGCTGGTGCTCCCACTGGGAGCAGTGGCTCAGATGGCAGCTGCAGATCCTCAGCTGTCCTGGACGCTGGTGCCTCTGCTTAGTGACATTTCAGACCTGCAGAGACAGGTGGTCGGCCACTTGTATGAATTCCTTTATTGAAGTTTTGTTCCTTACTTTGTTTCATGTAGTTCTGGTGATCATCTCTGCCCATTTCAGCTCCAGCTGTAGGTGCCAATTCTATTGGCAGATCCCGAAGATTTGGCTTCGGTGCAAGGAGTGTCAGTATGATTGCTGCTTAGTTTAAAAATAAACGTAACTGCTGTGACTGTGGGGTTTTTCTTGTTTGTTTGTTTTTTGCATAGAGTTGTTCTATTGTGATACTACTGCTGTTGTAAGAAATTGCTGTGCTTTGCAGTGTAACAGCCCTTGGAACAAGTGTGTGGGTCTGGCTTCAGCTGTGAGTGGATCCAAAAGCCTTCATCACCACTTACACATGTGGAACGATCATGTCCTGTACAAATGTGTTTTAGCATTTAAAAAATGCTTTTTCTTGGCCGTGTCAAAGTTCCCTCTTCCTGATTTAAGTGCTGACCAACTTGAGGTTACAGAAATGCACTGTCATCATGTGTAGACCTATTTGAGTTTGTGTCCCAGAAGCTTGTCATTTTTTCATAACTGCTGTTAGTTGGTTTAGTAAAAGATGCTATCTGTTTTTCTGTGCCTCATCTTTGAAATACTTCAATTTGTCTGTGGTTTTATCGTCCCACATAAGAGCTGAGTTTTCTGCACGGAGCTTCTTTCTCACTGCAAGGATGTGGGGGGTTTTCACCCTTCTCAAGCAGCGGCCAGCAGTTAGTTGCTCTGCAGGAGCACTGCTCTGTGTACATGCTTGCTTTCCTTAGGTGTGCTTGGAAATAAATGTAGTAGAAGCATGTTCTCCTACCTGATAATAAGGAGAAAGCTGCACCCATTGTGCTTCCTTCACGCCTTTCCAGCAGTCTGCAATAAGCCTTAATTCCCTTTACATTTCATGAGACAGGTGAGGTCAGACTGATGTTGAGAACTGAGTGCTGACCGCTGGTGGTGAAGTTCTACAGCTTTTCCTATGGAGTTGTAGACTGCTCCCCCTGGAGCTGAAGTGACTCACACCTGGCCTGGTTAACCATTTCAGTTTTGGAGACTCATTAGTTTCCCTTTAGAAAGCAGAAAGTGGTTGGCCAAGGCAACCCTATAGGTTTTTGTGGCCAGGTTCTTCCCCTTCTGTGTGAACTTGGAAGAGATAACTGTACCTGAATGCAGCTATGCCAGCATCACTAATAATAAAAGAGAACCAGCAATGAATGTGGCAACGACCAAGTTGGCATAGATTTCATTTGTTTTTTTTCTTCTTAGATTTTTTCTTTGCTTTGTTCCGTCTTTAGACTTTAAAGAGAAAGGAAAAAGAATACGAGCATGAGATGGAGCGGCTGGCAAGAGAGAAGATCGCCACCCAGCAGCGGCTGGCAGAACTGAAGAACGAGTTGAGCCAGTGGATGGACATCATGGAGATTGACAGAATTGTTCGACAGACAGTTCAGCCAGAGGATGACCAGGCATCTACCTCCACAGCGTCAGGTACCCACAGTTTCTCTCTTCTTGTAACCATCATTGTACACCACTGTTGTAGAGGTGTGTGGCGGGGATCTTCATTTAGCACCATCACAGTTGCTCTGCATTCAGAATTAAGTAAAAGGATTTCCAGTGTTTTGTAGTCAGTGATGGTGGCCTAATAATATACTTGTGTAAAGTACACTGAAAATCATGCATCCACTGTGTTACATAAACCCAAGGTACAGGTTTGCACATTCATTCTGCTGGTGTCTCGCATGGAGCTCCTTGCTTTCAGAATGTACAGCTATGCAGTCCTGCTCATTAAAACTGCTTGGTGTATAAGTCCTGATGTATTTGTGCACGGGGGTAGGAAGGTATTCAGCCACACGGAGAAGAAGGAATTGGTACAGGACAGGTCACTGTAGCATTTGACCAACTTAGCGAGCCTTTACATTGCATGAGAAAGATTCACAGTGAAGATAAATGATGCTAATGAAAATCAAGCATGCTATTCCAGTGAGAAGTTTTGTGAGGTAGCAGAGCACGTACATTCCTCCACACCAGTGACCTGCAGCAGGAAGAACAGGCAGTCATGGATGGACAGCGCTTTGCTTTCCAGAGATCAGAAGGCTGTAGCAGTTCCTAACTATTTGCAGCAATTCCTTAAATCTGCAGCGGCGTTTGCTCGTGGTGCTCCAGGCAGATGGCACTGCAGGTACCCAGAAAGGGAAAACCTGAGCTTTCTGGTTCATTCAGATTCCTGTACGAGGCTCATCACCTTTGAACATGCTCCAGACCATCTCTAAGCGTAAGCTTGGTGGAAGCTGAGAGTTGGAGAGCTTTGTAAATTGAGGCATCAGCTGTTCACTTCTCCAGCTGGCCTCTGCAGAAAACGATCTCTTCAAGCTACTACTGACCATGGGGCTTGCAAAAGGGAAGTGTTTTCCCTAGTTATCCTGCTGCTTCTGTATCTTCTGAAATTTTTAATCTCTACTGCGTGACTGGCTTTAGAGCAGGCAGTGCAGAATGCCCTGCTGATGATCCTAATCTCCTTAAGGTCAGCATTGCCTCATTAATTTGTAGGATCAGTGGAGACTTCTTTTTCCAGAACCAGACCAGTAAAGTTGCTGCCACGATTCTTCATCACTGTTTCCTTCCTGCTCTGGGAGCAGGAGGAGTAGTTACAACTGATAGAACAACATACTAGGAAAAGAAATCCTTTTCCTCTTTGTGCAGAGAGCTCCTCAGTCCAGCTTCTGTCCGTCTGCCTCAGCTCAAGTTGCTTCTCTTGCCTGCCAAGTGGGATCTCCCAGCCTTTTGTGAGCACCTCTGTAGCTGAGCTGAGTGGAGCCTGCTGCGCTGCGCTGCGCTGCTCTCCCTCAGCTCAGTGACTCCTCCTGCTGTCCTCCCTGCCGCTTGTCCTGCCCTGTAGGAGAGGCTGGTTAGCCCAGTTCATGCTCTGCTTATTTTTTTTTTTTTCCGTAATGGGAGTTTCTTCACTTCATTCTTTCTCCAGAGGGTGAAGACAACATGGATGAAGACATGGAAGATGACCGGCCTGTGAACTCATTACCAAAACTAGCCCAGCGCCAGCACCCAGAGCTCCTGAAAGCCGTCCCTTCAAACGCTGCTTCCCATCACCTGGCGGTTTTGCCTCAGCACCTGTCTATCCAGCAGAAACAGCCCCCAGCCCACGCACAGCCTTCCATCCAGACACAAGCACTGGTCCAGCCGCAGGCGATCGTCCCAGCACAGACTCACATCGTGGCGGCTTCAACAGTGCAATCGACTGTTATTGCCCACACCGCCACTACCCACGCTTCGGTCATTCAGACTGTCAACCACGTCATTCAGGGTCCACAGACCAAGCACATTGCTCACATTGCACCTTCCACGTCCAGCCCTGTGCAACTTACCACTGCTGCTCAGCCTATCGGCCACATCACTGTGCACCCAGCCACCATCAACCACATGGCCCACCTCGGCCAGCAGCTGCCCATCTACCCTCAGCCCGTGGCCGTCAGCCAGCCCGTGGTGAGCCACATCGCTCACACGATCTCTCACCAGCAAGTGAATGGAACCACGAGTCTGGGCCAGCAAGCGGTGATGGCCAAGCCGGCCGTAGGAACCCAAGTTGTCCATCACCCACAGTTAGTTGGGCAAACGGTCCTAAATCCAGTAACTATGGTAACCATGCCGTCATTCCCAGTGAGCACACTGAAGCTGGCCTAGAGAGAATCGTCTGCAGGTGAAGTCTTTGTTGGGAACCTTTCCTAAACTCCGTACATTCCAACCACGTCCGACTCCGCGGGTTGAGGTGCAGAGCGGCGGGGCACAGCGTGGGCCTGTGCTCACTGCCCAGCAGCCAGCCTGGCATGGCCAGAGGGGCCTCTCTGCACTTGAGTTTTGTTAATCTGAGAAAACTAAAAGGACAGTTGTTCATGGTGATTTTTTTTCCTTTTATGTGTAATCGGTGAAATATGGTTATGATGTTCTTAAGACTTTAATTTTCCCCTTTTATGTGTTGCTTCTTTGTAGAATAAATCTGCTGATCTCTTTATTGAGGCGTTGCGTAGAATGGGAAAAAATCATAAAAGTCTATATTTATATATATGTGTGTATGTGTGTGTATATATATGTATATACATATATATATAAATATAACATTTGAAGAAGGCCTTTTGTAAGGTTGATTATTTTGCAGGATTATTAGTCAAAATTCAGTTTTGGAGGAAGAAGACACAGTGTCCTCTCTAAACAAGAAACTTTACGTTAGATGGTTTGGTGGACCAGGGTACACAGACAGTGACAAAAACAGAGCAAATTGAACGTTCGAGATATTTCCCATCAGTATATTACATTTCAAAAAACCATCTAAAATCACTGTGACTTGTTATGGCATTTTAAGGAAGTTCTCTGTCCTGTTTAATAAAAGGAAAAAGAATACACAACCGGACTTCATTTGTTGCAGTTTCATAAATGACTTGATTTTTATAGCTATGTCAAAAAGAAAAAAAGAAGTATTGTTTTTTATTATTTTAATTGATGACAGTGTTCTGTTTGGATGTTTTTGGGGGGGTTATTGTTTGGTTTGGTTTTGCTGATGCAATAATCGATTTTACAGAACTGTTTCAGGATTCCTCGTGCCAGTCCCAAGCCTTAGATTCTCTGGGTTGGTTTTTGTGTTTGCAGAGGCAGACACTTTGTGCTGGCGACTTACGGTGTGTTTATCTGGCCTGATAACAGTGGAACTTGGGGCAAGAAGACCAACAGAGATTAAGTTGATTTGCTGCATGGTTTACTTTTCTTTGTTAGTTTGTTCCTGAACAGACCAGGTTTTAGTGTGGAAGTCAAAGGATTAGAGAAGTGATGAACGTGCATGTGGTATTTTCCAAAGTGCAAGCAATTTTTATACCTTTTTTTTTCTTTTTTGGGGAAAAAAAAAACCTAGTCTTTTGTAGGAGAACAGTACGAGCTCAGTATGCATAACCTGACAGTGTGTCTTACAGGCTGCAGTGGGACGTGCACCAAAGAAACTCCGCATCCTAAGTAACTCTTATTCCATCTCTTCTGGTAGTGAGGTTAATGGCAGTTAATGGCAGACTCCCACTGAGTCACAAGGTGAGAATACTGACTGTGTGCTGGTCCCTGCTGGGGAGTTTGCTTTGGATGTGTTTTATTGCTGACGGCATATTCTGCTCCGAGCACCGTTTTGTCTATAGCACTACTGTTAATGGTCTGTCTGTTCCTTGCACCATTTTGCATGTAGTACTGCTCTAATGGTCTCTTTTCCATCTTCCTCTTTCTAAAAACAAAAGCCCTGCAGTCACTGATGCAGGCAAAATCCCCGCTGTAGCCAGTGGACGTTCTTCAGGCAGGATGAGAGGACGCTCCCTGCCAGCATCCAACCCGTGTTGGAAATGACACCCGTTCAGAGGAGGAGGTAAGACAGGCTTTGGCAGCCATGAGACCACTTGGGTGTGCTAGCCAGCTCACTGGTTCTGCGTCGAGATCTTCCACAGATCTTGGAAAGCTTGGTCTGTAGTGCCCAGGGCGCCCGCAGGCTCCAGCAGGACTTTTGCCTGGCTGTGGATTGCTGTACCAGGAGTATAATGGAAAAAGCTTGCCAGTTCTGTACTGTCCACGCTATCACTGAAACTGTGCTGGAGGCAGCAGTAATTACTACATACAGAAAGTGTAATTGTGCCTTCTGAGTAGACATGGCTAGAGTTGCATCAAATCTGTATTTATTAAGCCCTGAGTTGCTCAGTAGTTAATATTCTTTGTTGTTTTCTTGCATCCTCAAGTTGAGGAAGATCTTGCCTGTGCTGTTAGCACAGTTCCTACAGCAGAATCTCTACAGTTTCCTTATCTCAATCACGTTTCAGTAGGTTGTTCTTTCTCACTTCAGAGCACCATGAATCTGTGTGGAAATGAGGGTCTGTACTGTCTCTGTTGTACGTTCAGGTGCTTGGCCACAAGAGCTGTGTTCTGTGTGCCCGTGGACTTCAGCTGGTGTTTCCAGAGATGGTCATTAGATTCTGGGACAGTCACTCTTCATCAGAGAATACTGAAAAATGAATGCTTACAACAGGGTCGCCTCCTTAGGCATGGCTTTGTCTTCTGCAGCTGTTTGGAGGAGGAGGAAGCGGCCTCTGCCATTCTTTGCTGTTCCAACTCACAGAGCCATGCGAAATAACAAAATGGAGGCAGGAAGCCTCAATTCTGGCCAAGAATGGCTGAGTTTTTGAAGGAGAAAAAGCCCAGATTGGGAACTCAGCAGCGCGTGGCTGCTGTGTGCACAACAGCAAAGGAGCACCAGACGCCCCTTCAGCGCCTGGACATGGATCTGTTCTGCAGGGAGGCACAGGAGCAGCACGCACCGTTCTGCTCTTGTTACGTGCAGTTCTGCATGATGGCTTGCTTCTTGTATTGAAGAACTTTAGTCCCACCTTAATTCCATTGGCTTCTTATCCCAGGAGAGCTGATGCTGGCTCTGGCAGTACACAGCCATACTAAGCTGCGCAGAACGTGTAGATTGAGGGAAGGGTTCCTGTTCTCTGCTGCAGGCGATGAGCTTTCTGGTGGATTATTAATGGCCTTTCCCCCGTGGTCGTGGTCCTGCTGCCGTCCTCCCGCCGTGGCGGTGTCACTTTGCCCTGCTCTGCTGTCACCTTCTTCCCCTCAGCACTCCGTCTGTCCCACCGCTCCCCTCGGTGCAGACCCCCCCTCCAAGGCTCGCCCTGCCCAGCAGCCCTCCTGCGCTGATCGCGGTCAGTGCTGCAATTCTTTGCCTTCTCCGTGGCTGCAAGAAGCATTTCTTCGTTTCTGTTTGTGTTTGAAAGCTGGCCAACTTCTGTTCTGTGGGACACAGCGAGGTGCAGCCCTTTCCCACGGCTGTCATTCCTGCTCAGAAACCGCAGATTTGTGCTGATGCTCTTAGAAATGTTCAGTACTGTATAACAAGGGGCACTTTAGAAATGTCTCTCCTCCTTTGATATATGTGTTTTCCCTATGGAGAAAGCTATATATAAATAAATATATGTGTACACTTGGGGATTCAGAAGATCTAATTTGTCCCAAAAAAAAATCAATAAATACAAAGTTTACAAGAAATCTCTTCTGTTGTTGAATAATCTTAGTTACTGGTAACCGTGCCACGTTAAAAAGAGAACGGGGTTTCTCCCGAGCAGCTCTGAGGCTCCGGCCCCCCCCGCATGGCCGCGTTGCGCTCCCGGGCAGCACCGGGCTCAGAGCACCGCGCGTGCAGCTGCGCTCAGCGCGGCCGTGTCAGCAGGAGGCCCGGCAGCCGCAGGTGTTCTTGCGTCTGCGCTCGGCGCCGCGGGCCGGGCTGCCCTGCGGTGGGAGCTCCTGCGGAGCCCCGGGCGGGGAGCAGCCGGCGGTGCCGCCAGGTGAACGGCAGCGCAGCTGAGCCGCAAAGCAAAGACGGACCGTTTCCGTGCGGGGCCGCGGCGGAGCGCTGCCGCCGGGATCCGAGCGGACGGCGCCGCTTCGCCAAAGGCGGCCGCTCCGGTAACGGCGGCCGCGGGGAGAAACGAATTGCAGGATTCTGCGTTCCATCCTCGCGCTCTGCACGCAGATATTTCGCTTCCCTTGTCACTTTCTAATTACGCAGACTGTTTTCTCTCTGAGTCCTGTCCCAAACGTGCATCAGCCGCCGCCAGGCTGAGCCCAGCGCTGCTCTGTGCTGCGCTCGGCGGGGAGCGACCGCTCCTTTCCGGCCCCAGAATGTATCGAAACTTGGAAAATCGACGTTACTTGAACACTGCAAAGCAGCATTAATTTACTGGCATCCTTTAGAGAAGATTTAAAAACGTAGAAGAAGAAGAAATGTAATGCCTGCTGAATGGGGAAGGTTGGCCAATGATGCCATCGGCGCTGTGACCACGTGTGCCATCCGGCATTGAGGTGAGGCTTTGGCTCCTGGGGACGGTGCCACCCAGCGTTGGGGTGGGGCTGGGGGTGCTCTGGGAGAGGGGATCTGCAGCATCCATGCCTGTGAGATGAGGAACTGGAAACACAGCTTGGCTAAACCTGCTTCACCCGACTCAGATTTGAATGCTCTCTCCTGCAGATCACCAAGTTGGATGTCTCAGGCTTTGAGAAAAGCCTCCTGGGTCCCTTGAGCACGGACTGAGAGCCAGGTAAGCCAGGTCACACCACACTGCTCCAGTTGTGTGCACATGGGGCTCCTAGTGGTACCCAAGTCGATTTCTGAACTGCTCATAAGGGCCTTTTGCTCAAACATCACTGTGCTGTTTTTTAGCCTGCCTGTTAGCTCCAGGAGGTGCCAACGCTGAGTTTGATTAATTAGGTGCTATTAGATAGTCAGGGTATCCCAGTAATTTGCTCCTATGGGTATGAAATGACCTGTCCCCTCTCTTGTCTACACATTTTATGTGCAGAATACTTTTCATCTCAGTGCTTAGAATTGGTTCTCTGGTCAGATCTTAGAGTAGATCCAACTAAAACATTCTGAAAAGGGAAACAGTGGCTTTTTGGTCTGAAAAATCAAATGCAGCAGGACTCAGAGTTGTGCTGGTGATTGTTCAGCTGTGCCATCTGATGCTCCTCAACTGCATCTGTGTGGACAGCAGGCTTGGCTGGGCTCGCAGAAGCCAGCAGCTGCAATTGCTATGACACTTGATTAGCAGCACTTGTAAGGAGATCTTATGTTACCTGCATTTCTCAAAAAGTATTTTGGCTTCTTCATGTCCACCCCCTCCCCACTTTCAGAAGTTGCCAGGAGTACCACCTGATGTTTAACAAGATTAACAAGCTTGGATGAATGAATGAAAGGAGGAGGGGGGTTCAGGGTAAGGTGCAAGAACGTTTCAGTGTGGCTGTTGTGTGGGGGCATAGTGGAAATGCTAAGTCACAGCCTGAAGCAGTGATGGAGCACCTGGTGGGAAGGCAAGGCCAGCCCAGGGGATCTCAGCTGCATGCAATGTACTGAATGAGCAGGAGGGCTGGAGCCAGGATCCACCCCTTCCCAGACTTCATTTAAGGGTTGGCAGTGGAGGTGAGGGTATCTTGCTAGAGATCCTTGCCTACTTGAGACCTTCCAAAGGTAAGCAGCTCTTTTCCTTTGTTTCTGTGTCTGTGGCTGCTGCATTTGGGCTTGTTCTCATTTGCTGCAGCCAAAGACTTTACAACCATGCTGTTATCGCTGTAGTTTCCATCACATTGTGGTGTTATGGGGTTGTAGGGAGGTGGCACCTGTGTCTGGTGGGGATGGGGAGGGGAGGGGAAAGCACAGTGCAGGGCTTGTAAGTTATAAGTCACAGAGAGGTAGCAACTGTTATGTCCAAGCATACATTGGAAGCAAATGAAAAAGTTGAAGCTTAAAAATAATGCAAAACTCCATTATATCAAAAGTGGTATTGCTAAGGTGTGCTGGGAACTGCCTGGGCTTGCTTGCTTCCATGTCGCAGT